TATTAAAAAGTGTGTTGTTTCTGCCGTGCAGTGGAAGTGACTCATACTGTTTTCAACATGTAATAAACAGCTCATCCCGAAATAAATATAACATGTTCATCAGTTTGAACACGCCGTTGGTATCAGTGTAATTCGTTAAAAACCTGCGTCACATCCGCAGAAGGGCTTCACTGACCGCTGGGGTTTATGATGACAGCAATGGCATGGCAACCGGACTTAAACTCAATTATTGCTCCTTTGCTTGCTTCTCTGCCATCACCTTTATTTAAAGCCAGAAGGCTTTAATCACAAAAGGTAGAATCTGAGTGGATGAACATAGAAGGTCAGGGATTATTCATCCAGCATGTCCTCATCAATTGTCCTGTCCTCCTGCCTCGCAGCCGTCCTGCTTATAAATAAACCTCCTGTTGCATCATCCCTTTCCCTACATATGTATGCAAAAAAAAAAGAAAAAAAGTTAATTAATAATGTATTCACATGCTGGTGAAAGCTGGAACTGTGTATCTTGGGTGTAGTTATCTGTATACAATCAACTCTGTTCAGTTTCTCTGTCCCTGTGAAGGAAAAGCATCTCCAGGGCACGATGCTGCCACCAGCTGCTCCTCCAGTTTCTCCAGTCCAGAGAAACTAAACCAAACTGCAAATGAGAATTCTTGGAGTTTCTTCCATTCCTCTGTACAGCCCAGATTTGCACATCCACAATATACATTCAGTCTACAGAGTATCCTGCCTGAGCTGTGCATCATAGCAGCTCCTCCAGAGTTACCGAGGGCCTGTCCGCATGAGCTGCCTTATTAATTCGGTTAAATTACAAAGTAGTTTAACTTGTGTTTTCTAATTATGTGAACACTTTTAAAAACGTGTCAAACCTGATTTGATTCACAAAGCCAAATGTTTTGACAATCTGGCACAAGTTCAATTCATCTTTGAAGAGACTGGAAGTCCTTGGCATGTAGCCTTGTAGCCAAGAAACAATGAGGCACTGTTCTGCTGTTGTTTATTATAGTTTTACCAACTGTGTCATTCCATCTGCAAGCACTGAGTCTGATGTCACATGTTAAAAATATTCATAATCCAGCTGAAACAAAAAAATAATAATTATTGTACAGAAATTATGTTCAAAAGATGGAGCATCCCAGCATTCTTCTGTGGGTTCTCTCATTTTACTAGGATTGCTATCTTTAATTGCAGACATGTCGCGGCCATGTGTACTGAATGGAGGTGACCTTTACAATATAAGTAGATAAAATGTTCAAGGACTGTTTGTATTTTTCCAGCACAAAATTTTCCTAAAGCTAAATTTGCTTCAAAAGATTGATAACTTATATGTTGAGTCCTTTAATTGTTATATTTCCAGATCACACAGTAATGACTTTCCAGGAGATTAAGCTTTCATTTAGCTTTTCTTTTAAAATTATTCTAATATTCAAGGTGAATAATAAAGAAAAAACCAAAGCAGCCTTTCATGTAAAAATTAATATTTGAAAGCAGAGTTGGACAAATGATCTACAGACTGTCAATATAAGCATTAAAAACATCTTAAAACAACATCCTCAAAAAAAGATTGAACAGAATTTACATGGGTTTTTTTTTATTATATATATAGCGTAATTAACAAACAAATCAGAGATTATGGAAAATTTTTAATGCAGCAAGAATCATTGCAGCAAGACCCAGTTTTCATCGACACATGATAGAATCAAAACAAGCAATTACTTTGGGAGACTTTTGTCAAGCGCAAACGTAAAGGTATACAATCAGCAAAATGCCAAAAGCATTCACATTAAATATGACATTTTATAGGTATTTCCTGTTTGAAACTGAACACAGGTCACTGCAAACAGCAGAATGCTTCTTTTATTTGTGCTTTACTCTCTCAGAAGTCCACCCTAGTGCATAAAATACATTAGAGGTTTATCGATTCTAACAAACAGTCGTAATGACTCTTGCATCAATGACTGATTGGCTGTTATCTGCTGTCTGGTGCAGAGAACTATTGATTTGGTAGAGGTAACAGCATTTGCCACTACTTGTCAGGACTCTGAACTCTGAAATCACTTATAGTTCTGGGAAAATGTAACATGCTCTGTGACAAAAGCAGTCGTCTTTGTTGGCATATCATGTGAACTTTAGAATCTAAGTAGAATATGTTGCTCTCAGCTGCCCTGTCCTGCTGCTGCTCACCATCTCATTTGCTAAAGACAAGATTATTTCATCAACATTTTGAAACGTCTGTCATTATCACCCTTCTCCCACAAGGTTTTAAATTGGCAGTAAAGCAACAGTATGTCATAATTCACTGTGATACAAATCTATGCCACACAGATTCAAGAGTGTACTTACAGATGATGGCAATGAAGTTATTTACACTGACTTTCTGGTGACCATCCTCTACATTGCAGCTTTTTCCAGAGTGGAATACTTAAAAAACAAAAAATAAATAACTGGCTCAAATATATACATGCACTCCCAATAATATTTAAATACATCTGTTTTAGTACAAACAGGAAGCTTCATGGAGGGTTAAGACCAAAGCTGAGCTATCAGAGCAATCAAGCTAAGGTTGACACTAAATAGGACATAATTTAGTGCTTCAACAAGACATTGAGCCTAGTAACATCATTATCAAAACCCGCTAGCATTTAGTTTCTAGCCATGACCCTGTTTAAAATATGTGGAGTAAATTTAAACAAAGTGGCTGTCTCTGGAAACCAGCCAGTTTAAATGAAAAGGTGTCCTACTCAGCCAGAATTCAAATTGCTTCTTTGCAACATGTATGAGTATGAGTCGTATGAGTTGGAGTTTACGTATAATTTTGACTGTCTGTTCAAACTTATGTACCTAATTCCTGTTTTGAAGAGGCACTAAAGTTGCTTGTTCTGTTATCAAAAGGTTAAAATGTATCATTAACAGACCAAAATTAGCAAGGAACTGTAACCTCTCACTGGCTCGTCGTCTGGACAAATAACTTGTTTAAACTGGCAACTCACAAAATGTTACACTTCCACAAGCTTCTTTAATTTCAGAAAGTGAAACTGATTGAATGTATCTGTGTGCATTCGTCCCACTGTTTAGCTGTTGCTCTTTGCATTGACTGAAAAGCCTCAGTCACTATTACCTGAAATGCTTGTTTTCATGCATGTTTCCTGTAGAGATATTTCTGGATCTAATCTCTAACATTACTGGCTGAACAACTTCAAAATTTCCCGATATAGCCACTCCTCTGTTACGCTGCACACACATGCACTGTTTCTTTAAACTGTGCGGCAAATGTCTTTAAACCTTCCTCTCGACTATTTATCAATTGTCGCTTCAAACGGCAATTAGACGTGTAGGTTTAGTCTGTTATTAGTTTGGATTTTACAAAAATGTATCATCTGTGTAAATTTTCTGGGGTAACATATGTGTTTCTTGATATTATGAATTATTGAAAGGGTCTTCTGTGAACACTTGGCAACATCTTTAAGTCTTCCACACAAAAATCAAAACCTCTTGAGGAAATGTTTTGTGGTGATACAGGAAACAATCACAGGTTGTTAATATTATAAAGCTTAGTAAAGTAACTCATCACTTAGACTTTGTTTTTTGGACACACAAAAAAACTTTCTCCAGATACCTCTGTGCAGTTGCCTTATTTGAACCAAACAAAAATCCCAGAATTAGGAAATAGTGCGAATACTCTCATTGCATAAATTAAATGGGAGTACGGTGCAAATGTGCAGCCCTAATTTCTCCATAGCTTTTCTTTGTGATACCAGATTCTCTTGTATTTTTTTCTTGGCTATATAAAAAATGTGTTCCTTTCGTGTTTGTGTTTGTGTCCTGAACCAGTTAATTTAATACTTAAGTCAATATATATCAGAACTATCTTTTATTGCAACTATGAGGCGGGTCTCTAGCAGCTTTGCACCACCTAGAAAAAATATATTTACTGAGATTAAGTTACACACAGATGAACTTTGTTTACTCAGTATATGATTTCTAGGTCAATTGGTGAAGATCTAATTTAAGGTGGACTGAATCTAAATGTACACCACACTGCTCATGTTTTTATAAATGATGTTGAAATCCATCTGTAACAGATAATAAGTATTTGATACACCGTTTATTTTTGTTTTCATGTTTTCCCACTTACAAAAGTTGGAGAGGTGGCAATTTTTTTTTCACGAGTTCACCTCAACTTTGAGAGACAGAATCTACAAAAAAAAAAGAAAAGAAAATCCATCCCACCTTACAGTTAAATAATGGTTTTAGTTTGATTATGTCATTACCTCTCATTTAAACAACTTTTTATTTAACTGGAAAAGATGTTAAAGATTACACCGGTTTACATGCACAACACGGTTTATTGCACCTATAAGCTAATTCCCAGAGAGTTATTAGCTAGCAACATTGCATGCAGAAGATGATCAGCTGAAGGATGATAATTCGTTTAATTAATAACACCCCTTACAGACGCAGCTTCTTTGCTTTAGGTTTAGGCTGTTCCACTTCAGCGTTTTTTTTTTCAGGACATGCTCCACACTGTGGTAAGTTTTGGCTTAAATGTCCTTGGGAGTCCCTTTTATTGTGCCAAATAACAATAATAATAGCTTATAAATGTGAAATTATAAGTTTCTCTTTTTAAACAGAATTAAACTTTTTGATTATAATGTAATATAGTGAAATGCATCTGTAATTAGACCATTCCTTACTTATAAATCTGACCTAAAAATACATAAAGCTGGAAAAGATCAGGAACAAATGATCGAACGAGTCTAAAAAATAAACCTAAAAGGTTTTTAATTTATTTTTTTAAGAGAAAGTATTATGCTTCAATAATAATGAAATACGGTGTATGTTTTTGATGAAGCACCATCACGTCCTCACAGCGGCTGTGTTTTCTTCCCGGCTGCAGTGTTTCGTGGAGCCTACTTTTCACTTCCAGGTGCAGCCTGCTGTGGTCCAGTCACATTTCAACACGAACTGCTTTCGGCCCCATAAATGCGCATGCGCACTGCAGTTGACCCCTCCGGTTTTCTGCGTGCACTGCCACGTTAGTAGCGGTAGACACAAAAATACCAGCTACTCTCCCAACCCTAAACAAGAAAACAAAAACTCACAAATTGATACGAATTTATCTACTAACTCGCAACCATTTGCGTCTGCAGCTTTCGTCTCTGTATTTAAGAAGAAAACTCGACGGTAACTATGTTTAAGTTTTGGCTGCTGTGTACACTGGCCGTTGCCAGCAGGGCTGACATCGCAGAAGAAGATGATGTCTTGGTGCTGAAGAAAAGTAACTTCGACGAGGCTCTCCTGGCTCATCCCAACCTCTTGGTTGAGTTCTGTAAGTATCCCAGGCTGCTAACTGCCACTAGCTGCACTTTTCGCTGTTAAGGTTAGCGTTAAACTTCCAGGTTTTAGGTTGCAGGTAGGAACCGCTAACACACAAGACGCATATGTTTTGATAAATTCTGCATCAGTTAGCTTACTTGGCTAACTACTTTTTAAACTTTTTTAGGGGGAAAAAACTAGACATTGCATTTCAGACGGTATGTTTTCTTTCTTTTGCAGGTGTTCTGGTTGAATTTGACAAGCTAGCAAAAAAAATACCAAAAATGTTAGCATTTTTTTTTGGTAATGGGTAAAATTAAATGCTAAATTAATTTAAGCAGTTGATCCTTGTTTAGATAAACTTTGTTCCTGGGATATTCTGGTTGGCTGCCTCTTTATTATTATCGCCTTGAGTTAATGAGAGAAGAGCTGTAAGTTTCGATTGTCATCTGTGGCTTCGCACAAGTACTTTCAGATTTCGTTAACCCCTTTATGGGACATAAACACCCCAGTTAAATAAGTGAGAACATGGTTGAATCTGCGTTGAACCAGATCAGTTCTTCAATGCTTGCACCAAATCTTGACGGGCCATCCGGGCCCATCCCGCTACACTTTTGTCAGATTGTTGGGACCTGCTCCGTGGATTGTGTGACAGCAGTGTGGACCAGTCAAACGGGGCCGTGGGCCGACACCGACCAATGAGCACCGGGTGAGAAGTAGATTAAGTGCTCACGTACGTCCTCAGCTGGGCGGGGATCACGGGTTGTGGTGTGCAGCTAGGTTGACGTGTACTTTACAAAAGTTCATGTACGCGTGCACGTTTACGTTGACTGGACTCGGACAAGGAAGTTTTGCTCATTGACAAGTGATGCAAGGCTTTCGACTTAATTAGACGTGTCACTTCTGATGGGCCTGCCATCTGGTTGGAATGTGCAAAGATGGCCTCTAAAGGATACTTTTGAACCAATCATAGGTTCTTTATCCATCCTTTGTCTCTTTACTTTCAATAATATTTTGAGTAAAGTTCAAACATGGTTTAAATTAACTGGAATAGTAGATTCACTTTACAGTAAGAGTCTGACCTGAAGCAGCATATGATTAAGACGGAGTAGATGCTCTTTAGTAATTCCTCACTGGAAAGTTTTAAATGTATTGTGTATGAATTTCTTCAACCAGGAATGTAAAAAATATGTAAATATTTCTGCGTCACTAAAAGCATGTCGATGTGGAAACTAAAGTACAACACTGGTGGAGAGGAGGAAGTGTCAGTAAAATGCAGGATTCATACAGTTTGGATACTGAACATGTTTATGAAAAGATAAGTCATTATTGCCTGTGCTCTTAATAAATGTTTTATCCTGAGGTGAAAATTAGCACGACTTTTAATAAAAAAAAGAGAGGTTAGTTTACTAGAATTGATATTTCCCTAATGCACCATTTCTGCTTGATTTTTGTTACAAAAAATCTCATCAGGAAAAGACATCTTACTTTTTGCAAATTGAATCCATGTAAGGGAGGAACCTCATACAATGTATCATTGTGTAGCTTTCTGCGAAAATAAATATTGCATAGAAAAATTAGACAAGCTGGCTTTTCTGTTTAAAAACACATTTTCTCTAATCAGTTAACGTTCTTGCCTCTTGTTTGTAAAATGATTTAAAATTGTACTCGCCTGACATCCATATGCATCTGAGATGAAACGTTGCCCTTCATTCTTCAGAATCAACAGAAATTCCTTCCGTCAGCTCCAGCACTCACAAGATTTCTTTCTGGTCGTTAAAAAACATTAAAAAGTTAAACTTTCCTTAAATGTGTGGCAGCAAGACAATGCGTCAAAGTTTATTTACTTATGCAGCGCGTGTACAGTTTATTTTGTTTTTAAATCAAAACTCTGTTTAGATACTTTTATCTTTCTCTGCTGTACCACTCCCAATATTGTTGAATTCTCCTGAATCAAGATGATCTGTGACTCCCACTTTGTCCTTCTGCTCATATTTTGCTGCAACGACTCATGAAATCCTCTTGATTGCTCTCCACAGATGCACCATGGTGTGGCCACTGCAAGGCCCTGGCTCCAGAGTACGCCAAAGCTGCCGGCCTGCTGAAGGCCGAGGGCTCAGAAATCCGCCTCGGCAAAGTGGACGCCACCGAAGAAAGCGAGCTAGCTCAGGAGTACGGCGTTCGGGGGTACCCCACCATCAAGTTCTTCAAGGGTGGAGAGAAGGAGTCTCCCAAGGAGTACTCTGGTGAGTGATGCAGTCACTGGGAACCTACTCATCCATCTCGACCTGGTATTTGTAGATAATCTGTCTGGATTTTTAACTGCTTGCCGATTTTACAGTAATTTGTTTTGATCACTACTTCAATAATTTCAGCAGCGATAACATGTCGTGATTTTAGATGAGCTCTTCTCGGAACAAGAAGTGTTGTGCTTTAAAATGATCTGAAAATATGATCATGAATGGTTCAAAGCCAGACCTGCAGACTCTGTTCACCCTGGCAATTTGACCCGCACAACAGCATCAAAAAGTAATTCGACCAATCGGAGCGCAGGGGGGCCGGGCTTCCTCAGCACGTTCCCCTCATGCTGCAGCTGAGTCGGGGCAGACCTATGTGCATTTCTTCACGTCGTCTCTTCGGCCGGCTCGCGTCTGACTCCTTTAGGAAAGGAAAGGGAGGGGAGGGAGAAGCTTGGAAGTGGTTTTGTGGAAGTGACTACTGTGGGTTGGACCTAGTCTTTTTGACTCAACCGCCTCCCACATGCAGCTCAACCAGGACTACTTTGTTGCAGCGCCCGTTTTGTTCACCAGTGTGATATCTAAATTTAGATTAATAACATCAGTTTTATAAATTCCTTGCCCCACTTTTTTTTTTGTTTTCTCCCTCATCAAAACCCTCAACAGTTTGGGGGTGAAAACGATTTTCATAAACAATCAGCCCCATTTTTTTAAAACAAATTTAAACATGAAATGAAGGTTCATTTAAATTTTGGGTTGAAAACAAACTTCACTTCCGCTTGAAGCACTTTGAAGTTTTTGCTAGAAATTGCAGAAGTTTCTTCTGTCGTTTTCACTGTCAAAGCCGCTGAAGCGTTCTCACAAGCACTCGCATGGTTCCATCTTTCAGTTTACCCACATTAGAAACTCTACAATTTCAGATTCCCTGCATCCGTCTGAGCCAGCTTCTTGCACACTTATTGATGGTCTCTTTATTTTTTGGCAGCTGGCAGGCAGGCAGATGACATCGTCAACTGGCTGAAGAAGCGCACAGGGCCTGCTGTCGCCACCCTGACTGAGGTCACTGCAGCAGAGTCTTTGATTGCTGACAATGAGGTGGCAGTCATTGGATTCTTTAAGGTGAGTCTCCAGAACAGAAGTATTTGGGCCCAATCTTCCTTTTAAGCCCATCATTAGGCCCATAATACAGGTTAAGCCTCTGTCTTTAAGACTTGTACAAAACTTACTGAATGCTACTGTTTTCTTTGTTTACAGGATGCTGAGTCTGCTGATGCCAAAGCCTTGGAAAAAGCAGCTGAAGCCATGGATGATGTTCCCTTCGCCATGACCTCCAGTGACGAAATTTACTCAAAGTTTGAGGTGTCCAAAGATGGCGTCATCCTCTTCAAAAAGGTGACTTTCTACTTGGAGAGATTTAAAATTGAGCGGTGCATTAAGCCATTTGATCTGATTGCAAAATGTCTAAGATGCAGCTTCTAAAGTGTTTGAGGTCGAGTTGAGGTCTACTGAATGTAGGTTATCATTTTTGCTTATGTAATGGAGGCATGTGAATTGGTGATCCAGCCGCTGACGGCGCCTTGCTGGCGTTTGATCTACACCTTCAGGAATTTGATGCTTCAGACGAAGTGTCAAATATCTGTTGCTAATCCTAGTTCCTCTGAGGTCATTCAACGTCTTGGATGTTGGGTTATGTTGCTTGACCCAACTAATGAATGACTTGGTGCTATTGAGCTGTTTGCTGTATTAGGGAATGGTCTGCCTTTCCAAGCGCCACTCTATATTGACTAAGGAATTTATTGACTTAAATGCCATATCCTTTTATCAGGATAAAAGGATATCGGAGTTTCGTTATTTTGGAGTTGCTTAGTCATTAAACCTTAAACTGGTGTAATGACCACTGATCATCTCAGTCTGACTTTTGTGTTGTAGGTGTAAAGTGACAGACTTGCCATGTTAAAAGTGGCTCCAGTTTTTAAGATGACAAACTTAAATCTTTAAGACCTTGAAGCCATCTGGAGATTTGGTGGAAATTAAAAAATAAATAAATAAAAACTTGTACGCTGCACACATGTAGAAGGTTTCATTTGTATTGTTTTTTTTTGGTAGGGAAGAGATGTTGGTAATCAAGAAAATCAGTGAATAGTTTCCTTTCTCACTCTTGCATGACTTTCTCACTTTGCTTTAATTGTCGCTGTACACTGCACATAGTGCACTTGTTCTGATATGCTGGGCCTTGAAGTCCTTTTATGAGCAGAACAATCAACTTGTGTGAGATTGTGATTTGTCAGATTGGGTCAAAGTACAAAGGATCGGTTACGGAAATGAAGTAATCAAATGTCCGTTTTTTTCAAATGCTTTAAAAAAACAAAACTTTTTGTCTTAAGCTTTTTGGGGACTGTAGCTCATGATTCTATTTTTTATGAATGCTTTTCATTTGGTCTATAAAATATCTTGCAGAGCACACAAGTTTTCAATGTTATGAAAAGATACCCAAGTTTAGCATTACAATGTCCACTCCAACCAGGACATTTTACGGTGAGCTCTGGCTGATCATAATTTGAATGAAAGGCTGTGACAAAGTGTATTTAGGAAATTGAGCTGCACTCTACAGGTGAGGCTCAAATTTCAAATATTGTGACAATTTTTGAACTTTCAATTCAGAAGGCAAACCCCATATTAAAGATTACACTGTGAAGTATTTCAAACCTTTATTTTGATTATGGCTTAACTTGCGATTATAGGGCTGATGATGATTTCTCATGTTAGGACTTGTACCTGTGCTTCCACTTTCTGCCACTGCTGAGCAGCCAGAGGTTCATGCTGGTAAACTTACTTTAATCCGAAGGTTGCAGTTGGTGAACCCTCCTAAAGTAGGGGATCAGCTCAATAAACAGCCGGTGGATTTTAGCTTGTTTATTGCAACTGGGATTTGGTTTTAGGTTTCAGTGCTTAGAAGGTTATCCTCTGCTATTGTGTGCCAGCAAGAGCCACTTGGCAGAGAACTACAGCTGCTATTCTTGATGCCCAATAAACGGCCTGTTTGGTCTGCAGAGAGTTGGATGATTTTAGAGCAGTTTGCTGGTTCACAGGCAGATTAGGTGGGACACCAGGTGGTCAATATTTGCGTCTAAGTGTTTCCATGTTTTCTTGACAGTTCGATGAAGGTCGCAATACCTTCGATGGAGAGCTGACGAAGGAGAAGCTCTTGGCTTTTGTTAAGGCCAACCAGCTGCCGCTGGTCATCGAGTTCACAGAGCAGGTAAAATTAAACCAAGACGGTTCTCCCTTCATACTATTGATACACTTTTAATGTATTAATACGTTCGTCTTTCCCTATTGCAGACTGCCCCAAAAATCTTTGGCGGAGACATAAAGTCCCACATCCTCATGTTCCTGCCCAAAGCTGCTTCTGACTTCCAGGACAAAATGGACCACTTTAAGAAAGCTGCTGAGGGATTCAAGGGTCAGGTAGGTCAACGCTCAGGACAACCAAGTGATGTTACTGAAAGTTATAGAATCGACCGCGTTGAACTGTTTACATAAAGCAGCAGATTTAGTTTGAATATGCAGTAAATCGCAATACCTGGTTTTTAACCTTCAGTGTCTTTTAAAATTCAGATCATAAATTTAAAAACCTCATATTCGGGTCTTAAATGCATTCAGGTTTTCTTTTCGTTCTAGCTCAGAAAATGTATTAAGTTGCCTCTTGGACATTTACTTGGATAAATGCACTATAAGCCTGCATCCTGTGTAATTTAATGCTGCTGAGCAATTTGGTTAACAAAACCACTAGCTGAAGGTTAGCAGATGCTATCGGAGGGAGTTGAACTTGTCTGCTTTACCCGTGAAGCAAATTTTCTCAAAGCAGGGCTATTGTAGTCTATTTGGGTAGTTAATAATAAAAATGTCTTTGTTTTACTGTAAAAACAATATACGCCTGAAGCTGGGGGTGATGGTTGAATTTAATTTTAAGTTAAATGACGGTTGTTATTTAAATCTTTATTAGGCTTGGCTTAAATTTTATCTTGATTTGTGTGGCTCTTAAATAGGCAAATGATGCAACAGCCTTGTCTTGCTGCTAGGTGATCTCGAATTGTATAAAATTTGAGCCTCTTTATGAGAACCTGCATTCATTTAATCTCATGGGTAACCTTCATGAAATAACTTGTCATTATAACATTAAGCTATTGTAAGTTTTCCATGGAAAAAGTCGGGCGTTTATCTCCCAACTCTGTGTCCAGATCCTGTTCATCTTCATCGACAGCGACATCGATGACAACCAGCGCATCCTGGAGTTTTTCGGCCTGAAGAAAGAGGACTGCCCCGCCATCCGCCTCATCACGCTGGAGGACGAGATGACCAAGTACAAGCCTGAGAGCAGCGACATCACGGCAGCGAGCATCATTGAGTTCTGCACGCAGTTCGTCGAGGGCAAACTAAAGGTGAAGCCCTGAGAGGCTGCTTGTAGCAGCAGTGGCTATAGATGGTTTACCATCCAAAGGCTCATTTTAACTGTTATAAATATGTAGCATAGTGTGAACAATTTTAGCCACACTGTATGCACCACCTCTCATTTTATTTTTGTTGGAGTTGTATTCTAGTTGGTGCCAAAATGCAGCCAGAACTAACTGCTGCCTATTTTTCTTTCTTTAACCGTTTCCAGGCCCACCTCATGAGCCAGGACATCCCTGAAGACTGGGACAAGACCCCCGTCAAGGTCCTGGTGGGCAAAAACTTCGAGGAGGTTGCATTCAACCCTACTAAGAACGTCTTTGTTGAATTCTGTAAGAAATCATTTTACTTTTTTTTTTATTTTTTTTTTTAGCCTTTTATTTTTAGTTTTTTATTATTAAAGCTTAATTCCTCAAAGGCAAATGACCAGACATCCATCTTCAGTCTGAAACTTTAATTCTTTGTAAGCCCGTCTCGAATATCTAAGAGTTGACTTCAGGTGCTCTTTGTGCCCCGTCAGCTCCACTTCCTGCCAGGCTCTAATGTTGCAAAGATAAATATAGCAGCAGGAGTATTTTATACCCATCCCAGTCCAAATGGGTTTTATTTTTGGGATCGTTTTCCACGTCTGGCTGTTGAAACGCAGCTGATGGCCAGTAAGGCACAGCCGGGGAAAAGCTTATATTTTCTGACTGGTGATGAACAGGTGGACAATTTCTGGCAGTCAGAGTGAAGTTGAGGTTTTCACTTTACAGCACATTTAGAACCTGAATTAACATGCAGAAAGTGTAAACTTGGGTTTCTCTTGATCTGCTACATTCAATACTGCAGTAATATTAAAATTGATGCTAAAAAAAACATGGCGCTGCGTTCCAGATGCTCCTTGGTGTGGGCACTGCAAACAGCTGGCTCCCATCTGGGAGCAGCTGGGAGAGAAGTACAAAGACAGCAGTGACATCATCGTGGCCAAGATGGACTCCACGGCCAACGAGATCGAAGAGGTCAAAGTCCACAGCTTCCCTACGCTAAAGTTCTTCCCTGCAGGAGAGGGTCGCGAGGTAATCCTTCCATAACTTGCATGAAATCAGAACAGACTGCTTCTACAAGCACAAATTATTACTTTTTAAAATATAGATGAACTACTGGTGGTTGTCTCCACATGGACCACAAAATGCCTTTGCTAAAGACAAAAGGCTGTGCTGCAATGAAACATGGAAAGTTAAGTGGAAGAAAAAAGCCTAACTATACTGTACCATACGCTGACAGTTCTGTTACTAAAAAAAAATTTGATTTAAATGTTTAATTTGTGACACACCTGTAGCTCCTCAGACTGTTGAGTTCTGCTGAAGCCGTTTATTTACTCGCTTATAAAAATCTGGTGTAAACGATGTGGAAACATCTGCAGCGTCCTGCACAGTGAGCCAGAAGGCCAAGGCTGGAAGCCCTCATGTTGTAATGCAACTGTCTCCTTTTATGTTGTGCAGTGGAGCAAAGTGTTTAAGAAGTTTTATAGTATCGGAAATCTAAGGAAGGTTCTATAAAACACGTTAATGTATAATTTACAGTTGTCTGATGAACATCTAGCCAAACGTAATGAAATTTTAAACTTTTAGCCACATGGCTTCTTGTTTCCATTGCATTCTCTGACCTGATTAATGTGCTTTTACTACTTGCGGTCAACAGGTGATTGATTATAATGGAGAGAGAACGCTGGAGGGCTTCACAAAGTTCCTGGAGAGCGGCGGTAAAGATGGAGGCGCTCCTGCAGGAGACGACGACATCGATACAGATGTGAGTTTGTGAGCTGACTAAAGCCGATCCTGAATCCTGAGCTTCAGGGTTGCAGCTTCATGAGAAATAGTTGGTAGAAAATGTTCGACCTTTTAATTTAAAAACAAAACCTACCCTTTGTTTTTGCACTTGACTAAATGGATTAAGGTGGATAGTTTAGCCTCTAGCTACAGTTGCTGAATTGACATTTTACATTTTTAGTTTCAAAGTTTCATGTAAATGGTTAAATAAGGGAAGGCCTGTGCATAAACTTTGCAAAAATCCATGTCTTCCCAGTTTTTTCACTTTGAAATATCTTTTCATACAATCAGTGAATGTATATAAATGTAGATTGTCTGCATTAGTTTAAACCAAATGTATATTTCCACATATCTGCAGTATCAGGATGGGAGTTAAAGAACCACAAAGACAAAAAATTACATCTTGTGACTCTTTAGAAGTTGGCAACCTTTAAACTTTACTGTCAACTTCATTGCTGCAGCTTACTTGGTTAGAGATGCAGACTAAAGTTTCCTCCATGCCACAGTGGGACAGTCGCATAAACATTTGTGTGGGTCGGGGGGTTCCTCCATATTAACACCTGCCCGTCTCACAATGAGCCCACCACATCTCACATTAGACATCTCAGAGGTCTAATTGCAGCTGTCTGGTCAGCTGTCACTGGGCTTTCTGTGGAGACCTGAGCCTCCTGTTGGAGCTGCACGTGCCTCTTCAGCTTGAACGAGACTGGTTGACGTTTACCATAAATGTTTTGAAATTCTGTTGCTGCAATTTCTTTTCACTTTAGTCACTTCCCCACAAATTCCTAATCATTATATACAGTTGTGGTCAAAAGTGTACATACACTTGTAAAAAATCATAATGTTATGGA